TCGACATGCTCTTTCATCTCCACAGATCAGAAAATTGTTTTGGAGAAAAAAGTTTCCCGACCTGGAGACCGGTTTTTCAAAAACCGGATCTTATAAGGCCTAACTGCCCAAGCCACTATGATATTCGAATTCAGCATAGTCGATTACCTATTGCTCACTAGAAAAGGGATAAAAAGCGATTTGTCAGTTGGGGATCTTCCCTCGTTAGATGGTGTCAAAATTTAGTTTATAAATAATATAATTATATCCAGGCAAAACTCAAATTATAATATTAAATTTGAGTTTTGCCTAGAAAAACTTCAGGCAAAACTCCAATTTAAGTTTTGCCTAGGCAAATTTAAAATCTGCCTGAATTTGAGTTTTGCCTGCAACGTATATGCCCCAGTGACAACTGTTTTCAAACCACCTTGTACTATACTGAAGAAAAATCAAAAAATTTAAGCATCGCCCAAACCTTTTTATTCTTGACAGCCAGTTATCATCCTGTACTTATGAAAGTATAGTAATGGTTAACCATAGTAATGCTCTCTTACACGGAACGATATTTAAGTGGATGTATCATTTTAAAGATGGATGATCAATCATTGAATATGATTCTGTTATAGTATACCAGCCGTTACGTCATATAACAAAAGTCTAAAAGATGTTTGAAGTGATCATCCCAGACCTGCTTCAAGGACAAAAGAATTTTTGTTCTCTACGGGACCGCATCAGAGCACCGTCGCGGGATTTCCCAAAAAACTGTACAATTTTTTTCACAATTTAATGCATTTTAGAGTGTTCCACGTTTCGTCAGAATAATTTTGGGATTCTTTTAACAAATGTGCTTTGTAGAGCAAACACCTTTCTACTAAATGAGACGTTCCGCACCTCTGAGCCAATCTTGTTAACCGATGTGTAACAGTTTTTTCTGATGCCCCGACACCCGTTTTTAACTGGTGCATACCTAATTAAAATATCGTCTGAAATTGAATGTCAGGTTGATTTTCTGATCTGTGCGAAGTTGATTTACTAAAATACTTATGTAATTTGCCGCAGTTATTATCTGAACGGCTTTTAATAATAAGACTTCTGGTACGTAGCCTATAAACCATGGATGTTGTATTTATTTCTGTGGACGACACATTAATGCACTTGAAATGTAAAAAAACGGCCACTGAACAGAATGAGGAAATTTCGGTATAATAAAGATCGAGAAACAAATTAATTTTACAGAAATAATTTTGGTCTGGATTCCTTTTAATTACGGTATGCGACTTGTCACTATCGAAATTAAACTACATATGTAGAGAAATATAAGAACAAAAATGGCACTGCGGATTCGAGCGCGACAGTAAATACTTTTAGTGAGATGAGGATAATCAAAATTTTTTATGCTGTCTGCTTTTTCTTAGAAGTAAAAAGGTGAAAAAATCTTGATTAAAAATGAAAATTTTAAAAAGCAGGATGGGAAATGTCTTCACCCATTTTCTATCAGCACTTCTTACTAGAAGAAAAACCTAAAAATCAAGAACCCTACCATCAATTCATTTTACATATTGTAATACAAAAATAATAAATCATGAACTTTAGATGTATCATCTTTTTGGTAAATTTTACTAAAGGTGTACAGTCAAATATGCACAGTTAGAGTGACTGTTTAACCCTTTGAGGACGGTGGGACATACGTTGTCCCACCTCTTTTACATTAATAAAAATATCATTAATGCACATTGAAACACGAAATAAGGAAGGTAATTAGGATCAAAAGCAATCGAATTCAACGCGTTACACTTTTCGTTTCATTCTTTCCTTCGCTCTCATCGGTCCATCTCCATTGTCCTCGATTTTCGCCGCTGCGAACAGTGACGTCATGATTTTCTTCTTTTCTCTCTGATGACTCGCTTCTTCGAGAATATTCTCAGCCTTTTTTGACTATATATATACACGCATGTTCTCAAGGAGGAATTGATATATTCAAACGATTCGTCTCTTAGACCTTTGTTCTTCGTTTCTCACAGTGCTTTACGTAATAAACACAAAGAAGATGGAATTCGATGGGGAAAGTGAAGTCGATGATGAGTCCTGCGATTCATACGATACTGATGACACCAGTGAAAGTGATTTCGATTTCAACGACGATGAACTGATCGATGACTTCGAGGGTCTCGAACTTTCTGACGAAGATCCGGATGCATATGTAAATGAGCTAAATTCCTCGGATGAAAACATCGCTACGGATAGCGGTTTCATATCGATATCCGACGAAGAGCCAACTCCAATTTCGATCTTTCGAGCCTTTTTCACTGATGAAATTTTACATTTAATTACAAAGGAAACAAACAGTTACGGAAAGGGAAAGTCATCAGCACAGAACCGTTGAACAAGAGTTTACTTTATTAAATCTGAACGGGAAATCGTGCAGGATTAAGATCACATGATAAACAACAACTTAGATACAATAAATTATGTGTATCTAGTTGTACATATCGAATTTTTGCTGCATTCAACCTAAAAATAAACATAAGAAAAGAGCTTGCTTTTCGTGCCAGCAAAAGTGCAATTACCATCTATAGTCTGCTCTCTGTGCAAGCTTTTTTCTTTTTCGTCAAAATATTCCAGTTGTTGTCCCTGGAGATGACTATCATCATATTCACGAGAAACTTTCGATAAATTTGATGGTTGATTTAGACCGTTTAAAATTTGATGCCCAATTTGTACATCGATAAAGTTTGTCAATGTTAATCCTTGCTTTCGCAGTTGGATATGATCATTTGAACAACCAACACCGACCTAATAGTAGAACAGTGGTCAGTATAGTCTCAAAAAGTTATAATTCCAGGTCTGAAATTCGAAATAACTGCCAGATTTTTCATGTTTTTCCAAAAAATTCAGGAGGATAATATCAGTTTCCTTCTATGTACGGAACAACTTTTTTGAAAGAAAAATGTCATCTCCAGGGACAACGACTGGAATATTTTGACGAAAAAGAAAAAAGCTTGCACAGAGAGCAGACTATAGATGGTAATTGCGCTTTTGCTGGCACGAAAAGCAAGCTCTTTTCTTATGTTTATTTTAGGTTGCATGCAGCAAAAATTCGATATGTACGACTAGATACACATAATTTATTGTATCTAAGTTGTCGTTTATCATGTGATCTTAATCCTGCACAATTTCGGATGTGGATCAAATCATCCGAATTAGCCTGTACAAGGTTACCAAAAGCAAAAATGAGAAAAATGATAGAAGATGATGATGATGATGATGGTGATGAATATTTTTCACAACCACTGTTGTCACCACGACCAGAACAACAACAATGTCGGCTATCGCCCAAAAAGAGAAAGAATAGCGACTCAATGGAAAGTGAACGATCAAAACAGATTAAAACTCATGATCAGAGGTAAATAGGTTCAGTTTTTCTTGTAATAAAGATTCAGACACCCATCAATGTCTATTATCCTTTTTCACAACAACAAGGAATACAATACAAAAGAATTACTCAGGAGAACCATCCTTGTCTTCAGTGATCGTTAGACCACAAGCCGCGTCATCGAATGTAGAATGTCCTACGTCGTCTTTACAGACACGCAGGGTTTTTTCGTCTTCATCATACAAAACACAACCAATGAATAAATGTGCTTCATTAATAGTGGAATCAAAAGTATTTTGTGTCGGTTGACTGTATTATCTATTAAAAGATGTGTATGCTTTTCTTTTTGTTTTAGAAGAGAACAAATTGTCAAACAGAATCGATATTTTTGTGTAATCTACCATTAAGTATTAAATACAGTCAACTTTTGGCTTACGCAAGAATTACTGGTCATCCAAAAACAGTTAAAATGATGAACGATCGCTGTGGAATATTTCGTGGTCTAGTTTATCCAGTACAGTACTGTCAAACAAGTAAACAAATTCATGAATAATCGGCTCCATTTAATTGGAGATAGTCGTACATTGAAATGCAAATGTGTTCTTCCCACGAAACAATTTGAATCACAATTAGAGCGGTATAAAGTTAGTAGGATGATCAAATTAGTTTTTAAAATCAAAACTACTTACCAAGGTAATTTTACATCACTTGTTTAGTGCTTTTATTTATTTTCTTTGTTTCTTCTAATTTAGCTGAACAGTTTTCAAGAAATAAGAAACGTATTGATTCTGAATTATATGAATTTTGTTCAAAATATGATATCGTTAAACAATTCAAAAATGAAACAGATTATTATTTGGTTCAATTTGACGATTATGATTCGTGTGATTATTTAATAATAGACAATTACTATAAACAATTTCGACTGTTGAATTTAGATATAGAAATTGTCAGAATGTATGATGATGAAATAGATTATCAACGTGAATATGAACGACAAACGAAGCACAAAAATGAACATAACCATGTAAATAGAAGATATTGAAATTAGTAGGTTGCTCTGTATACTGCATGCGAATACATTAGAGGCGTATCAAGTAAGGAATCTATATTTTCGCTACCTGGCAAATTTTAGCAAATGTGTATGATTGTGATATATTCATTGCTGACAGTGGTGATAGGAATAGTTATAGTACTACTATAACTATTCCTATCACCACTGTCAGCAATGAATATATCACAAACCTTCACTCCATTTTCAATGTGCAAGAAAGGATGACGCCACATTCTCGTCACAGTATGAAACAACTGAGATAGCAAGTGATTGTAATGAAGAGAAAGTGGAAGTCAAAGGATGGCGTGGTAAACGTGTGGAGCTGCCGAATGTCCGTCCGTAGTGCTGGTTATGACATACTGCGTGTTTGTTGCAGTTGGTGTTAGAAATGAACTTTGTGATTGGAAGTTGGTGAGTGTAAAGAGAAATGCTTGTGAGTCCTGTCTGTAGCCACGTTGTGAACTCCAAGATACGGTAGTATATGCGCCAAAGAGATAACCGCCTGCCTTAGATTGAAGAAGTGTGACCGTTGGACCTTTTCCATCGCAGTGACGATGGAAATCTTGTGCGGCAAAGCCATCTCGTGTGCCTTGGTAAATCAAGGTCCAGCGTTGATTTTCTCGACCAGAAAATTCATTGAGTTTTAGCTGATGCTGTTTGTCATTCAGTAATACTCCACCTCTGAATAGCAGTTCGTGTGGGCTATGAGGTGCAGAGATAGATTCAGTATTCTCGATGACTAGATCGATAATTTTTGTGAAATCGTTAGATGTGTTTAAATTCAACTGAATTTTGCTGATGTTTGATGTTTGCAGTTGTTTCAGTTGTACTTCTAATTGTGCTAAATGTCGTTTCCATTCGTGGACATCGCTTTCATCATAGTCACGTGTTGATTGTTTCACACGTAAATCATGTGTTATCAGTGTAAATCTGCGTTTTATTTCTTTTTCTTTATTCAGTATTTGTGTCAAATTTTGTTGTCGCTTAACTGTTTTGTCTATCTCGTCGAACATCTTTTGTTGCCATTCATCGATTTCTTGTATCAAGTGAGAGTGAGTTTTGTATTGCGTCGAATTTAAATCTTGTTGAAAAAGCGCATGTTGTTCTATAAGTCGATCGAATTGTTTATCTGTCATTTCTCGGTGTTGCAAATAGTGTTTGTTGCAAAACATTTGTGAACATCCGGCACATATTATCACGCCACGTCCTTTTTCTTTCAGCTCTTTGCATGTTGCACATTCCTTTGAATTAGTCTGATTTACTGAGGTAGCCATCTATTCCAAACGATTTAACAACCTATTGTTTTCACTAGATACAATCAAAATTTGTCCAACTTGTTTCACCTTTTTGTCGTGTTAAATTGTTGTTTTCAGTTTACGCTTTACTTGTAGTAAAACTTTTCTTTTTTGTGCACAATTTTGTGCTTTTTCTTCTCTGCTAACTAACATTAACCTTCTTTCTTTTCTTTCTCGAAATATTTTCTTTTCTTCTGTTGACCTTCCTCCTCATTTCTATAGGAATCAAAAATGACTCAAAATGCATGCGTCGTTTCTAGATAACAACTGTGCGTTTACGTTATTGGGGATACAACCGCGGTTTACACTAATTACACAATGAGCAGCACATTTAAAAAGGATTTGTACGAGAATTATTATAGAGTTTTAATTATAATACAGTGGATGACTAAATTGCGTAACTTTTATGATGATTCTGGCGGTAATTCGAATAGAACTTATTCTTAATAAATAAAGTGAGAGTGAAGCATTCATGATAATTGATTTTAAGCAGATATTGTCTTTCGATCACAGTGTACAACTTGCTGTTAACGACAGTGTTAAGAATTCTGGAAATATTAAAAGTCATGATTGCGACGTAGGATAAGTTAGCTTGATATTCTAATAATTTTAGGAAACATTCTCACACAAACGTGCGTGACAGAAAACTCGATGAGCTCTACATAATTGCACTACTCGGAATAAACAGATCCTTCCATGAGACAGATACAGTTACTGAGCAAACAGTAACATTTTCTACGGGAACGCATTTAACAAACTGGTATTCTTCGCAAATATTCTCTCACTGAACTGTGTCACTGATAAAAGCTAGTGTGTCTTATAGATTTCGGCGAGCTCGATCGAATGGTATACTTCATGTTACCGAAGCAGCTTCTGCAAATTTTAAAAGTGAAAAATACTGAGAAAACTAGTACTATTTAAGAAAAATATATTTTATTCCTTCTGCCACTGTGATATAAGTGAAATTTAATATTTTGATCAAATATTCTCTGTTGAACGTGTGTCAGCAAGGAAAAGTGTGCAAGATCGAATTCACCAAACTATGCAAATTCTTCAATAAACATACTAAAAATTATGTGTCAATTGCGAGCTATGTAAAAATGCGCACTTACAACACTGCGACTGTCCAACGGAATCCAACAATGTGGAAGACATACAGTCACAAAAAGTTTCCATACCGCTCGAAAAATCTGCACATTGCTCGCACTTTGCACAGAGCAGTTAATTCGCGCAAACTTCTGCAAACTCGTACATGAATACGTGTGGAAGATACCGGAATTAGACACCAGGTTATTAATTAGACGAAATCAGCTTCCTGCCGGCTGTTAAAATCTGCACAATGCTTACACTTTTCATAGATGACTAGGTATGCTTGCACTCTTCACATTGCATCTAATTCGCGTGAAATGCTGCGAATTCACAGATGCCTACGTATGATACATAGTGGAGGACGAAATCATGACGTTTTCAAGTACTTTTCCATTGTACCCTAAAACTTTTCCCAGAGAGTCCCAGAAAAGTGCACATTGCACGTAAAGTGTAATTCCGAATGAATTTGTAATGATTTGTATGAATCTGTGCACATTGCAATTAGTAGTAGTTTGTATTTTTTTGAACGAGGAGGAACCTTGTTCTAGTCTGTGATGAGTTCTCATGTTAAAGATAAAACAATTTCGTAGTTTGTACATACCTATTGAATGCAATATGCAATTCAGGTGCAGTTTGCAGATTTTTCGACCTAGAGGAAAATTTTTTTCAACTTCGGATAATTATCGTACCTACCCGGTTACGAATTCTCACATTTTCATGCGAACTGATTGCAATGTGCCAAGTGCACGCTATTTTGCAGATTTTTTGATCTAAAGCAAAAAGTTTTTCGCTTTTGATCTACTTCAACAGCAGTGAACTTGCAAATTCTCAGATTTTGCATACGAATTCTTTGCAAAGTACAAAGAGCAAGCAATTTGCAGATTTCTCCATCTAGAGGTGAAAGGTTTTGGAACTTTGATAGTTAGTATAGCTTCTCACCTGCAACTTTGCAGTATTGCAACTTGCCCATGCATGCTGTTTACGGGCGTGACTGCCGGCAGACCCAGTAAATCTGCCCAGCAAAACCTGGGCGTTATCAGATACATTTTCGACTAATACGCGAAGCTCCTCATCAGTGAAGTTTTTGGATCGTTTCTTGTTGTTTTTTTTTCTTTTATTTCAATAGGCATCTAAAGAGCGAAAGAATTTCGAAGAATGCGTAGTTCTGTTGTTTTTTCCTGGCAAAATTAATCGAAGAAAACTTTATTTGAAATAGGGCGACTCTTTCACATAACCAACAAACTGTACAGAGAATAAAAATGAGAGAAATCTATGATTTCTTTTTTTTAAAAAACATTACATTCAATCAATCAATCTTCGTCATCCATTGACTCATCTTCTTTGACTTAATCGCTCAAATCTTGTTCAACATAATCTAGATCACCATCATAATTAATTGAAGATACTTGTGAATATTTTTCATTTTTCCCTTGATGGTGCAACACAATCATCTAATGTTTTTTATATAATAATACCTTCTTCATCAACTAATCTTGAATCTGCTGCTTGTTTTTTAATAATATTTTCATATTCATTATCTTATTTTCTTAACGTTTTCGGTACGTCACTCAGAAAATATAGGAAAAAAGCAGCAACAAAGACTTTAATTCAATTAAATTCTGTACATTTATACGCATCTCTTCAACTGAGGGGCGTTTTGTCGCTCTTTATTCTGTACGTGTTACAGCACAAGCTCATTTATGGCTCCTGACAAATTGCATTAATAAAGGTTACGAGAAGCTCGCCATCGGTAAGACGGAAAGTTCAAAAGACGCAAGTTTTTTTCTATTTTCACCACTTTCTTTTTCCGGTCCAACTTCTTCCGATTATTATCTAGCCATCACGGCAACCTTAGTGCCTCCTTCAGTACAAAAATGAAAAAGAAAGATACATCATGCGGTGGAAACAAAAATACAAGACAAACATGGATGTACAGTAGAAAAGTTGAACGGTTGTTTAGATATTTTTAACAAGTATAAAGTACATATAGCTACGAACGCGTACGAAAATGATGCGTAGCTAGCGATTTTGTTTTTTCTGCCTGATTCGGTGCGATACAACTGTATTAGGTCATCTACAGAGAGAGATGTATCAGATGGGCCAGCGAAAGGTTTTGGCTGTGGGCTTGGAACTGAAGGGTCGTTAGCTGAATAGTGGGTGAAGATTGGGATGGTTGAGTATTTTTTTGACAACGTCTTTTATACAAGATAATTGCTGCCCCCGTCAATATCAAACACGCAATAACTATGCTTAAAATGTATCCAGGTCCAAAAAAACGGCCCGTTAACGGTCAATTAGCCTTCAGTAAACGGTCACACAGAAAACGGCGCGTTAACATTATGAAAACGGCAAAAAACGCCCAGTAAACAAGCCGTTAACTTGCGGTTTTTAGTATGGCCGTTTCACGGTCCAAAGATCGTCTGAAAACGGTCAGTTAACGGTCACCGTTTACTGACCGTTTGCTGAGCTTTTCCAGGCTATTTATTATTCACACAGAAGTCCGTCATTAACTGGCCATTAAAGGGCAGTTAACGGACAGTTTTTACGCCGTTTTTTACATACATGATTAGAGATGCTTTTGACCGTAAATAGGCCGTTAATGACCAGTCCCAAGCAGAAAATCCCACATGAAAATATCTAGATATTTTATCGTTGTATTGGGCAATCCGACTATGAAATATCTAGGTATAGGTGTCACTTTTATTGGGTTATCTAGATATATTGGGCATGGTATCTAGTTCATCCCGATATCATCTCAATATATTGGGATGCAAAAAAGGGCTGGTGTAGGGAGCTACAGTCCCCGATATATTGGTCTGTTACATCCCAATATATTGACTTATGTATCGATAGCATGGATGAAGGACGTTACATTCCTCAATTTATTGGTCTGTTATCGCCCAATATATCGACTCATGTATTGACAGCATGAAGGATGCTGTCTACATTGCGCCCCGGGATGCCTGTATGCAGACATCCTGCTTTCTGTAATATATTGGTCTATTATTGCTCAATATATTGACTTGATATGAATAAAAACTTTGTAAATTTATGGAGTATATGTGTTACATATATAGGTGCTGTGGCTGCAAAACAGAAAGGTGAATAATCCGACCGTCGATATATCGAGCAATATATTGGGCAAGCTAGATATATTGGGTATGGTATTGGGTTATCTAGGTATATTGACTACTGTATTGGGATTACTTAGATAGGATTGCCCCATACTCGATACTTTTTATTCGCTTGGGAGATGCATAGGTCGATATATTGGGCGATAACAGACCAATAAACTGAGGAATGTAACGTCCTTCATCCATGCTATCGATACATAAGTCAATATATTGGGATGTAACAGACCAGTATACCGGGGACTGTAGCTCCCTACACCAGCCCTTTTTTGCATCCCAATATATTGAGACGATATCAGGATGCACTAGATACCATGCCCAATATATCTAGATAACCCAATAATAGTAACACATGTACCTAGTTATTTCATAGTAGGATTGCCCAGTATCACAACAAAATATCTAGATACTTCACAAGATTTCTTACTTGAACATGTGATAAATCTAACATCCAGATATATGGGGTAAAATATAGGGTTATCTAGGTATATCGACTACTGTAGTGGGTTAGCTAGCTTGGATTGCCCAATACTCAATACTTTCTTTTTACTTGTATCTAGGTATATTGGGTATTGGATTGGGTTATCTAGGTAGGATTGCCCAACACTCGATACTTTTTATTCGCCTGAGGTTAACGGACCGTTTTTAGGCCGTTTTTTAGAACTTTATGCTACATCAATTTTAGAATGTTTCATGACACATAGACTACTTGGGGGTAATTGGAGACACTCTTGGAAATTTTTGTTGGGTTTTTGCTATTTCTTGACCGTTTCTGATCTGAAAAACTTGCTATCATATTGGTCTCACACTACATGGGATATTAATTTAAATATGTTTTATGGACTAAGTTAAACTCAGAATTAATTATGATAACTAGAGACTGACAGTTTTTATAAAATCTTCTGTTTATGGCTTACATAAGCATGTTCTCTACAGAATGCAAAAAGAATCATCTGAAAATCGTGTAAACTACGCAAGATCACACCAAATTATCCGACATATGTCCCATTTCAAGGACACATATACAAGATGATATGACATTATGGAGAATTTGCGCTTGCCGCAAGATCAAAACTTCGAAACTTTCGTAGATTAGCCGTGCATTTGTAATTATATATTATCTATGTGTATAGGACTATTTAATATAGTGATCGAATATTGCGCTGTCTGGGATTTTTGGGATGTTTGGTATTTTTGGGATGTTTGGGGTTTTGGAGATTTTGGGGTGTTTTGGGATTTTTGGGATGTTTGGGATTTTGGGGTGTTTTGGGATTTTGGGGATGTTTGGGGACGCTGGTTTTTGAATTAAATCTTAGTTTTTTGTCAAATTGAGGATTTTTCGGGTTTTGGAGGTTGCCTGTAAAACCAATAAAGACTTTATTGAAAAATCGGCGCCGGTCGATCCATGTAGTTCGGTGTCTAGTTGAAAATAAAACAAACCCGAACTCTCCAGCTTGAAGTATATTAAAAAACCTTGGGAAAAACTTCAGGACCGTTTCTTGATCTCTAGAAAACTCCTAAACCGTACGACACGGAGACAAAACATTTTTTCGTTGCCGTAATCCATTAAACCTAACATTTACGGAAAGTTTGACTAAAATCGGTTGTACGGTGTCAGAGATAATTCCAGAGGGGGAGTTAAACTTAAAGCACTCATTAACTAGATATATGTGACTTTCTCCATCAAAATACATAACGAACGGATCAATAAACTTCGAGAAATACGTCCATGTTAGACGATGGTGATCGATAGCTGACGCACACTCAGTTGATTATGCTTTTATTAGTAATGGTTTTTCAACACCTAATGTAGTACTTCATAGAATAAATTTGATACTGACAAAACGAGATGTGTGGACAAACTGTCTAAAGACGAATTGACGAATCGTAATTTTTAAGCGTAAAAATGATGCAGCAATTCGCATTTTACTATTATTTGGCGAATTTTCAGTCAATTGATGCGAACTGTAACGAATTGGTACGGATACTCTTAAAAACGTTTACGAATTCGTAAACATGCGAATAGATCAAACATGATGTTCATCAATTCGCAAATAATTCGTAAAATTAGTTTACGAATTCGTGTTCACTGCTTTTATAACTAGATTAATTCGTAAATACAAAGCAGCGAATTCGTGTTACGAACTGATCTAGCGGTTGAAAATAGATCCCCGAATTCGTCTCTTCGCATCGATTGGCATAGATCTCGCCTCAATTCGCCGTTATTTTTACGAATTCGTAAAATACGAAGTGATGTCAAGGACGAGAAACATCTTTCACACAATTTTCTATCTTCTTCCTTGTCGTATTCAACATTCGACAAAACACGTTTGGCTTGTTCTGTAAATACTCACAGCCATCCTCACTGCCTCCCCCACCCGCACATGCACACAAAAAGGAGAGAGATTCCTCTCTATTTTGTTTCGCACAGATACATGTATTAATATAGTCTATTGTCACATTTTCTGATTTATACGAAAAATCTTTCAAATCTACTGTAGTATTTTAATTACCGGCCATCAACATAAAGTTATTACCGCTCCATAGAAATTTTGCGTTTTCCCCAGCAGAAATGGCCAACAGTTTGACGGGTCGTAATAGAAGACCCAGGGCCTTCTAATACGAGGGGGAGTTAGGAGATTTGATACAGTTCACGTGGCAAATACATTTGGCGTATTTTACAAATTCGTACAAATAGCGGCGAACTGATATGAGAACTATGCGAAGATTTGCGAAGAAGCGATTCTATCTGATTTCACCATAAGTAAAAAATTTAAAGGTAGAACATGAGTTCGTATTTTACTAGCTCGTAAAACTATCGACGAATTGATGAAAGAATTGAACGAATTGATGCGAACAGATGATTCTTTGTTTTCTTAATCTAACAGAAAAATTTCTTGTCCTTGATATCAATTCGCATTTTACGAATTCATAAAAATAACGGCGAATTGAGATAAGAAGTATGCGAATCGATGCGAAGAGACGAATCTATCTTTTTAACCTCATAGAAAAATTTCTCGACAATAAAATGCGAATTTACGAATTCGCCCGATATGCTTTGACATCTACGAATTCGTAAACAGAATTCGTAAATTCGCATTTTATCATATTTTTGCCAATTTACGAATTTGTATACGAATTTTTGGGGACCAAAAAGATCATTTCACGAATTCGTTGATAGTCGACCAATACAATTTACGAATTCATGGGTACCCGAAATTTGTTTCCGACGAATTCGTCCCAATTTACGAATTCGCAAAAGGAACAAAAGAAGCACCGTTTTGATTATTTTTTGATCATTTTTGTTACTTCGCATCAGTTGTGTGCATTGCGATGAATTACGAATTCGCAAAACAAACGTATAGGAGTTTTTCAGAGATCAAGGTCCAAAAACGGTCCTGAAGTTTTTCCCAAGGTTTTTTAATATACTTCAAGCTGGAGAGTTCGGGTTTGTTTTATTTTCAACTAGACACCGAACTACATGGATCGACCGGCGCCGATTTTTCAATAAAGTCTTTATTGGTTTTACTGGCAACCTCCCAAAACCCGAAAAATCCTCAATTTGACAAAAAACTAAGATTTAATTCAAAAACCGGCGTCCCCAAAAAACCCAAAAATCCCAAAACACCCAAAATATCGTAATATTTTATATAGTGGTATCTATCTTATAATAAAAGTTCTACATTTTTTTTCTGATTGCAGCAACATCTAAATTTCTAAACTTTACGACATTGCCGCAAGTGCAGTTCCTCCAAACTATGGATGATATGAAGTTGTGGACAGCAGTAGGCATGCACCAGTTAAAAACTGTTGTTCGAGCTTCAGCGAAAATTGCTATAAGTCATCTATAAAGAATTACTCAGAGTCGCGAAACGTCGCATTTTGTAGAGAAATATTTCTTCTTGAATACTCGGCTGTGAAAAGAAATCTGAAACTATTTCTAACAAAAATGTGAGCATTACGGATAACTTCGAAATATTTCTATGTATAGGCGATTGTAATCCAAACATTTCTCTACAAAATGAGACATTCGGCGACTTTGAGTATTTCTTTATCGGAGGCTTATAACAATTTTTGGGAGTCACAAGTTGAATTGCGACATTGGCATAGCGTGTATACACAAGATGATATGAGTCCTTGAAATGTGACATACGTCGGATAATTTGGCGTTATCTTCCGTAGTTTTCACAATTACACGAGTGTCTCTATTTACCCTAGAGCATAAAAAGAATTTCTAGTTCTGTTGATTATATGCTCATTAGCTGAACGACTTTAAATGATAATGAGCTCAAAACAATATGGTACATAGAGAGAAGTCCGGGCTATGAAATGAGGTATTTTTAAACTAATTATCTCCTGGATTTGGCTCAAAACTAGTCGAAAATTTCCAAAAGATTTTTACGTGAGCGTGTAAAAAACGTTCGGTCTACCACCGTGTTCCATAGCAAGCATTTCCGATCGAAAACGGTCAAGAAATGGCAAAAACAGAACGAAAATTTTCAAGAGTGTCTCTAATTACCCTGAAGTACTCCATGTGTCATGAAACATTGAAAAATCATTCTAAAGTTGCTTTAGCATAAAGTCCAAAAAAACGGTCTAAAAACGGTCCGTTAACTGGCCATTAACGGCCTGTTTACGGTCAAAAGCATCTATAATCATGTATGTGAAAAACGGTCTAAAAACAGTCCGTTAACTAATCGTTAATGGCCTGTTTACGGTTTAAAGAATTCAATATGTGTGTCTTTCGTTTTTCCTCCATCAGATTTCACACTATGTAGCTGCACTGGAATAAATTGTATGTAAAGTAGTACGTCAGCTTACAAGCTTGAATAGCACTTTGATAGTGTTAGTTTTCGAACCGACATGGCCATATAGTTACAGTGACAGACTGGCAAACACAAGTTCTGATGTTCGAATTTCGATATTTTCAAGTAAGGAAAAAAATTATAGTGGCGTTAGATGATGTGTATAGTCTAGTACCTAGATTAGGTCGATTAGTGAGAAAGGGTAGATGCGGCAGATAAGTCAATATCATGAAGTCGGAGGAAATTGTTTTAGGAGTTAATATAACTTCTAAAAAACGGCCCGTTAACGTTCTCAAAACAACAAAAACGGCCAGTAAACGGTCAATAAACAGCCAGTAAATGGTAAGAAAACGTTTCGAAAAGGATCCGTAAACGGTGAAAAACCGATTTATTCAAGACCCTAAAACCTTACGAGTTTTAGATTCTGAAAAAGGTCCGTTTACGGCACGTTAACTTACCATTAACGACCAATTAACGGGCCGTTAACGGTGCCGTTTTCTTGGGTCTGGGTAAGAACTTGTAGGATGAGGTTTCAGCTGAATGCTGCCGAAGGTCCAGTTAAGCACATTTTGTCGCTGTGAAGCTAGCTGGTCCTGAAAAGAAGATCTGAACATATATTTGGATTCAGCTTGTCAAACTACATAATACGCCGCACCGGATGATTTGGTGTGATTTCATCCGTCTTTTGGTTACCTAGGTGGAAAACAGTGGCTGTCCGAACGGGGAGGCACGCGGGGGTATCCCCCTCCTGCTTTTTAAAATTTTGAGAAAATTTTCTCCGTTTTTGTGGAAAAAAAGAAAACAGTTTTCTCCGTTTTTAGAGAAAATTCTGAAGTGATTTTCTCCGTTTTCTTCCGTTTTTACATATGATTTTTTACGAAAAACGGAGAAAACGCTCATTCTAAAGAGAAAAAATGCGAGTCAGAGGAACAGTTGAGCTCTAGAGCCATACAGCAAAGATGTCAGAAGTATTATAACAGAGTCGAAGTGTAAAGTGAACGATTATTTATTGATTCATTTCGTCGCGATATGACACATATGCTTTACTACGATGTTTGTTTATTTACTTTTAGAAACCGAAGCGGAATAGCAGTACAATCAAACGCTTTTTGCTGTAGAAATTTGACAGAAAAATATAGACTACAAGTTTTTAAGTGACTTTCTCTAAATTTTAGATGTCTTAAACGATTGTATTTCAGTAATTTACATTATAGGCAACGTATTTGCAGACTTACTCAGTCCTAGCTGTCATAAATCTTCATGTTTTGAAAAAATTGATTACTTTTTCTCCTTTGTATTTTGAAGCTTCCAAACATCTTTTTCAGATTCAGCATTGAAAACTGAATTAGGAAATGTGTTTTCGAAGTTCTCCACATATTACGTGGTCAGTGCAGAAAATTCGTTCCAAGCGGCCGGGAAAAAAGGATCTTTGTCGGGAAAACTGTCTCCTTGTTTTTCTTGAAAGATGGAACCTTGAATTTGACATCATTCGATCCGCCACATC